TGCACAGCCTTTGGGTTTGTAGATGTGGGGCCCCAGAGTCCCAAGCTGAGCCGCTCCTGCTGCAGGTGGTGGGGTAGGCCTTGGCAGGCATGCAGGGCCATTCTCACAGTGGGGCAAGGCCACTGTGCCCACTCCTGGTGGCAGATCATGAGGCCCGGGGACCACAATGAAGGTTTGGGCCAGAGAGGGGTGTGGGCCTCTACCTTCCTCTCTCTCCTCCTTGTCTGTTGTTCACAGTAGTGAACTCACCTACAGACTAGTGTCTTGAGTGTTCAGGGAATGTGTCCCTCCTTTTAGGAATCTGTTTGCCCTGTTCACCATTTCTATCTTAACATTTTCAATTCTGAAAACCTACGGACTGGAGCACATTTTTTTTTGGCAAATGTCAGGTACACTTGAAGCCCCCAAGGAGGATCAGGTGCTCCCCCAAAAGCATAGTGGATTTCTACACATTTATTTTGGAGACAAACTAGACAGTGTTTGGTCTGGAATGTGTTGAGGAAAGGCAGACTGCAAGTGTGAGCAGGCAGGCAGAAGGGGAGTGGCATTGCTTCGGGAAACCTGCGGAGGCCCCGTGCATCGCTTACCAGAGGACCTCCGTTCCATCGGCCAGAGGTGACTGTGCGGGCCTGGGAAAGAGTGCTTCTCACTTCTCTTCTGGGAACCGGAGGAGCTGCCCTTTGCCTGCTCTTGCTTCCCTCTCTCATGTCCAAAGGAATCCCGCAGTGTGCTGTGAAGTCCCATAAAGCAGGGTGGTTGCTGGCAGGAGGGCAAAGGCATGGCCCAGTGCTTCTGTCTTCAGCCCTGGAGCGATGATGGTTCTGTGTGGCTTCCCTAGCGTGAAATCGGTAGTGGCCAAGGCGTAGGTGGGCCACAGGGCCATGCTACAGAGCCTTAACAATTCTGAGTTGTCTCCACTGGGACACGGTCTTTCCTTTCTGTTCAAAACTGAAAACGTCTAACCTCACACACTCCAGTGGGCCCATCAGATGGAGCTGTTACTCCTTGAGAGGGTCAGCCTCCTTTCAGGAGCCTCTCTTTCTTTGTCTCTGGTGTCCTTGGCCTTCATTTTAAAGGGGAGTCCCCTCTCCCACCCACAACCCATCCAGGACCTGCTGGACACCAAGGCAGGCAAGTTAACAGAATGGGATTAGTGCTGGGCAAGGAAACTTAGTCCAAAGGTCCTGTGCCTGCCTAATCCCTTTCATCAGATGGCTCATGCTTCCTAGTGCCAGTTCCTGGACTGTTTGGCCAGAGGTGTCTTCTTTTGCTCCAGACGGATTGCCTAGTGCCTAGGACACTATGTAAAGAGCTCCTAGAGAGTGGGATCCTGTCAAAGATCAAACCCGTGCGTACATGTGTGCATGGGTGTGTGTGTGTGTGTGTGTGTGTGTGTGTGTGTGTGTGTGCTGCTCCATTCTTGGGGTGAGATTGCAGAAGTGATTGGAATCACAATGCAGAGCCATGCCTGTCCTTTGGGCATGCTGCATAGTTTTCTTTAAGGGAACATGAAGGGGACAATCCTTTCTATTCTCTGGCAGAGCCAAGGGCAGCAGGAGGTGGTGAAACTGCCATGGGCAGCCCTGGCACTGCTGTGGCTCCATCTGGAATCTTTTCTCAAGAGCATTTGTGGTTGTGCGCACTTCATTTGGGCGGGCCCTGCCCCTCTCAGCTCCAGCTGCCTCTACCCCATGCTGACCCAACACCCCAGCCCCGTGTGCTCACTGAGGGAGCGCAGTGAGCAGTCTGGACCCCAGGGACCTGGTTAGGAGGGATACGCTGTAGGTCTGCCTCGGCCCTGTGAGTGAGCAGGTGCTCGCTGTTTCAGACACATGCTAGCTTCTCTATGGTATCAAGGGCGAGGTGAAGGCCAGGAAAGCAAGGGAGGCACAGACAGGCAGCTAAGGGAAAACGCATCCAAGGACACTATTTCACATATAATATTCAGGTGAGAAAAAACCCACTTGCTCTAAGAAGGTGAGGAGACCAAATGGGGAGCTTAGAGTTGGCAGGAAGCCTGTGATGGGGTCGGGTATCCACCCTCAGCCTCACCACACACACTGGCTCCAGGGCGAGCATCAGCTGGTGCACATATGAAATGCTCAGCTACTCCTGGTGAAATCTGACTGCCAGCTATTCATCAGGTCTTAACAAAGGCACATTCTAGGGTATCTTCCTGTGTTGTGACGAAGCATAAATAATACCAACTACAGATATTGAAGAACCTCTAGCCTTTGACCACTCAGGCTCTCTCAGAAGACCAACAGCTCTTCCACATGGTACTTAGCTTCTCCTCTTCCTAAAACTACAGGAAATTATCTAAGTCTGGTGGCATCGAGATGGTACGGACTTGCCTGATATCAAGGACAAGCTTTGGGCTGAAACCAGTCCCCGACCCCTGCACTGTGTTGACTGAGACCTGACGTTACAGGCTGGCCCGGCTGAGAGCCGCCTCAGACCGCAGGAGGACACCTGCAGCAGGCCCGTCTTTCAGCTGCTCCACACTTTTCAGGGAAGACATGCTCTCAAGCTAATTGAATACACACGCACCCCACACATTGGCTCCAGGAAACAATGTAATCACCAGGAACACAATCTGCTTCCTAAGTGGCAGCGCCTGGCCTGTTTAGCCAAAGTTGTCTTCTTTTGCTCCAAGCCTGAATGCTTAGTTCCTAGGACACTACACAAAGAGCAGGCATAGTGTGGAGGGTGCCAGGCCTGCAGGGGACAGGGTACACAAGGATTCAAAACTTTAGGCAAACGTTCACCCCCTGTGTCGTTGGTTGTTTTCTTATACTGCAGAAACTTAAATGTTCCATCACACTTATCAATGAGCAACATCCTACCAAGCCTCCTGGAGAGATGCCTCCGTTTCCTCAGATTCTCTTTACAAGGTGCATGCTATCGCCCTTCTGAAGATGTAGGACTCACAGCGCTCACTGTGACTCCGGCAAATGCATCAGCCCGGGTGGCTGCATATCCAATTCAGCTGACACACATTTCTTAACGGGCTCTGTTGTCATTTTGTTGTTTTCCAGGCTTTTTGCAGATTTTGAAGAGTGATCGTCTGATTTTACTCTGGTTGCATGTGTGACAGATGCCAAGTGGGATTCCTGCCCAGAGGCTGAGTGCCCATGAGGTATGTGGAAACAGGGTACACCAGCTCCTGTCTTTCCAGCTGCTCTTATGCATACCTGCTCTGCTGCCCTAAAGGAGACAGAATGGAGCTCTAAGCCGAATAGTGTGTGTGTGTGTGTGTGTGTGTGTGTGTGTGTGTGTGTGTGTGTTGTGAAGGCTATTGCTAAACATTTGGCCTGGACATAGGCAAAGATGTGGAAGTGATGAAGATGGTTTGACCCACTGGACCTGCCAAATCTGGCCAAATCAGGAGCAGAACTTAAGGATAACAAGCTAGGCAAGTCACTGGGACATCAGCAGACCTTCAGGGATACACGATGAGCTTGAGCTGTCTGTGCAGAATGCAGACTCATGGCGTTGCATGGCCATCGAGGGAGGCTTTTGCAAAGCTGGCATTTGGAGCCACCTGCTTGCCTCTACAAGACAGCCTCCTTGAAGTCTCCTTGAAAAGCGGTTTGCCCTGGATTTCACACTGTGCTTGCTTTATCTTGCATACTCACCCACCACGTGGGTGAATTTCATGGCCCAGTTTGTCAGGGTCATTGCCAGTTATAGCACTGCAAGTCCTACACCCTGGGAATCCTTCAATATCCCGCCCCCATCACCGGTCTTTGGTTTTCAGACAGCCCTGGTCAGAGGGAAGCTTTAATGCCAGCTGGGTTTGGCTGAGACTGTCTCTGGCCATCCCTGCAGCCATGCCCTGATTGCTTGGCAGTTCACCTCTCCTTACCACCCCAGATAAATTCTTTTCTAAGCCACTTCCCTCTCCTCCTCCAGGTAATATTCACACAAAAACAGGAGAAAATGTGCAGAAACAACTTATATAAGTTGGAGGTCATTTTCAGTGTAAGATTAGAAATGCATTTTTTTAAAAAAGAGAGAAAGAACGATTAATTTGAAAACTGCATAGCTGAGAGCAGAGATTCCATGGGTTACCCCCAGGAGAAATGAGAGCAGTGTGGAAAGTTCACTTTAAACAAAATGGCATCTTGTTCCTTTTGTGAGGAAGGTCCTTAACCATCTGCTGGGTGGGCATCTCCTTCACAGCAAGTCCAGCCTCTAAAGTTTTAGTCTCAGGGGAGCAGGCTTCTGAATATCGGAGCGCTGGGGGCACGAGGCCCCATGTTTCTCTGGCTGTCGGGTTTTTGCCGGAGGAGGTGCCAGGAAAGGGCTCTGCAGGGCCCACCCCACGTGGCTGGAGAAGCCAGCCCCGCGGCGCCACTCAGCTGTCCAGGGAAGGACAGAGAGAAGGAGAAGTAAAGTGCATGCTTCACTTTGGAGACAGTTTCTTGATCCTCTTCTTATACATTTTAAAAATCCCTTGAAATTCGCCTTGGAGGGGAAAACACCTCCTAATGGTTAACATGAAACTTTACTACCAACAAGCAAACGATATAGATCATGTAACTAAGTATAGATTGCAAAGACATATATCTTAAAAGGAAAAAAATACCCTAATGTGCAATATTTACCAATACTTAAATAATCCAGTTGAAACTTTTTATGTCATTAATGAAAAATACAACATAGACAGTTACCTAGAGTGAGAAGAGCAGAAATGACGGAAGTTGGGGAGAGGACAAAGAGAGTCCATTCATTAGAGCTTTGCAAGATTCATATATACAGCACCAGGTCCTGTTAAATCAGCTCCCTTGAGTCAGTACAGTTTGTGAGAAATGAACACTTCAGAATTGCAGTATAAAATATGGCCATAAAAAACTTCTGTCTTCCAGTCCTGTGCAGGTAGGCGCACCATGCAAGGTGGGATCGCTCTGGGGTGGCTGGTGGCACTGGTGGCCCTGGGGACCCCCTTCCCTGGCTCTGCCCAAGGCCTCGCCCCCGGGCCCCACCTCCAGAGCCAGTCACTTGCTTCCAGAGTGCACCGTCGTCACAGTGGTGGGCCTCGGTCTCCGCTCCGCTCCCACTCCGGGAACCCCTGATGAAGAGGAAATGAAACTACAGAGCGTGGAGGGTGCCAGACCTGCAGGGGAAAGTGGACACAAGGATTCAAACTTCAGAAGGAAATACTCCCCCTTCTTATGGCAAGGGTTTGTGCAGGGGCCAAAGTTCTCTACATTGGGCCCTAAACGTTTACCTATCCATAGGAAAGCAATTGCAATGTGTTCAGAATGCTTTCTTTCTAGACCCAACTCTTCCCTCCTTTTTTCATTATACTTATCACTGCTTTGTGTTTGAATACCACATGGGGTATTCTGATAGGATCCAGAATGAGCACTTACTGTGTACTAGGTATCAAACTAGGTGCTGAATAAACACTGTCATTATGATAACTACGCTCCATGAAGTTATTTTAAGAATGAAGAGAGTGCGATGCCCTTATGACCCCTGCTTGTGTGTGGTCTACACTCTTGGCTAAGAAGCATCGGTGACAGAGAACACACGGAGGGGGCTGTTGCCTCTCCCGTGTGAGCTCAGAGGCCTGAACAAGGCCTCCACAGACCACAGTCAAAGGCGTCCCAAGCAGAAGTGCTACACTGGGAGGTCTGGATGTGGACGAATCCACTGAGCTAAGCTCCAGTGGTGTTCCCCCCATGCACTTTGCAAGCTTGGAAGATCTATCGGGTCTAGTAATAATTAATGTCGTTTTTAAACATTCGTTTAAAATCTTGCTTGGCGTTGACTTGTATTGACATAACCTTCAAACATGTGGTATCTACAGAACGTGTGAAGTGCAATTAACAAGTTTTGCTTGAAAAAGTTTGTGTTTGGTTTGGTTTTTGTTGCAAAACTAGGGCTAAGAAGATGGCAGATGAAGAGCATATTCGGCACTGCATGCTTTACGAGTTCCAATTAGGAAGAAAAGCAAGTGAGGCTGCAAAAAACATCTGTAGTGCTCTTGGTCAAGATGCAGTTAGCGCCAGAAAATGCCAGCGTTGGTTTGAGAAATTTCGCGAGGGAAATTTTTCGTTAGATGACAAGAGTGGTCGAGGCCGTGTGTCCAATTTTGATCAAGAAGCTCTTCAAGCTCTTTTGGTGCAAAATCCTCAAATTACCCAACAAGAGCTTGCGACAACTTTAAATTGTTCACAAAAAACAATTTCCAATCAATTGCGTGCACTTGGCAAAGTCCAAAAGTTTGGAAAATGGGTTCCTCATGAGTTGACCGACAACAACCGTAATCAAAGAGTCACAATTTGCAGTTCGCTCCTCTCTCGTCAAAACCGTTTGCCGTTTTTAGAGCAAATTGTTACCGGAGATGAAAAATGGGTGCTGTATGTTAATTTGAAAAGGCGGCCTCAATGGTTGGACAAAAATGAGGCTCCGCAGCCCACGCCAAAACCTGACTTACATGCGAAAAAAGTGATGTTGTGTGTTTGGTGGAATTTTAAAGGAATTCTTCATTATGAACTTTTACCATCTAACCAAACCATTACAAGTGCAGTGTATAGTGCCCAATTGGAAAGGTTAGCCCAAGCTTTAAGAGAAAAAGAACCTGCGCTGATCAATCGGAAGGGCGTAATTCTTCACCACGATAACGCACGACCGCATACTGCAAGAATCACTGCTGAAAAACTGCGCCAGTTGGAATGGGAAGTTCTCCCTCAACCTGCATATTCTCCTGATATTGCCCCTTCCGATTACCATTTGTTTCGTTCTTTGCAAAACTTTCTTCTTGGAAAAAAATTTAATAATGAAGAATGCCTCAAAAATGCATTGACCGAATTTTTTGCATCAAAATCACAAGAATTTTACAACAGAGGGATTAAAATGCTTCCTGAGCGTTGGGCACAAGTAGTAGAAAACAACGGCAACTATATTGTTGATTAAATTTTGTTGTATTGTTTAAATAAATTCGATTTTAAAAAAAAGTATTAGAAAACGACATTAATTATTACTAGACATAATATAAACTAGATGATTATGATGGCCTCACTGTCAGAGCTATTGCATTAACATTCAAAGAAATGAGTGATTGTGGGTTTCCTTTGGCCAGAGGGTGGAGAGGAACTATGCAGACCTGGAAACATGGGTCTACAGGCGTGTGCAATTGGGTTGGGGGACTCATGGAGATTTCTTTTTATTTTTAAATATATATTTTATTGTTGACAGTATTACATATATGTCCCATCTCACTTTCCTCCCTCTTCCCAGCCCTTACCACCATCTCACCCAGGTCTTCACTACCCTACTGCCCGTGTCCATGGGCTATGCACATAAGTATATAAATTCTTTGGTGTATCTTCATGGAGATTTCTTAGAAAAACTGAAGGGCTGGGATTCCTGAATGAGATGGAAGGATTATTTAGTGATGAAGCAAACCTTTTTCTAAGGGAAATGAGAAGAACTGTGATGTCCAGAATGAAACCACGCTGCCTGAAGGGTGCTCCATAGCTAGGAATCGAGGCTGATGGGGAAGATCAAGGCAACTGCTCAAATGGGATGGCCGGATGTGAGATTAAGATAAACATATAGAGGGGGACATGGGAGAGAGAAATAAGGGGAGTCTAAGTGCATCCTCAATGACATGCCATCCCATGCAAAGATGAAAGACAATGAAATATGAAATATGATTACTATGATTATAAAGCCAATGTACTTTATATAAATGAACTCCAATTATCATCATCCTCATAAAAAAAAAAGATGAAAAGTCAGGGAGAGCAGGCTGCCATGAGTCTCTGCCATCCCTTCCTCAACCTTTAACAGTGACTCAATGACAAGCAAATCAGAGAGCAAAGAGATAGAGCAGAAAGTGTCTGGGCTTTTGTCCAGACAGACATGAACTTGAAACAGATTCATCATCTATAAATAAAAATATCAGTGCCTAGGGTTGTGTGAATATTAAATAGTGAATTTTCATAATGTAAACTGGTGCAGCCAATATAAAAACAGTATGGAAGTTCCTTACATAAATAAAAATAGAATACTACATGACTCAGCAATACCCCTTCTGGGTATCTACATGGAAAAATTGAAAACACTTATTTGTAAGGATATATGAATCATTATGTTCACTGCAGCATTATACACAGTGGCCAAGGCTTAGAAAGAACGTAAGTGTCCTTCAGTAGACGATTACATAAAGAAAACGTGGTATATATACACAACGGAATACTGCTTGGCAATAAAAAATATGAAATACTGCCATATGAAATACTGCTAAATAAAATAAGCCAGACAGAGAAGGACAAGAACCTTGTGATTTCACTCATGTGTGGGATGTAAAACAGAGGGCAACAAAGACACACACACACACACACACACACACACACTCACACAAATTCTCAGACACAGATACAGTCTGATGGCTACCAGAGGGAAAGGGAGATGAGGATGAGGAGGATAAAGGGGGTCAAATACAAGGTGAAAGAAGGAGACTAGGTTTAGGATGTGAGCACACAATAGCAAATGCAGATGTCATAATATAAAGATGTTCACTTGAAACTTGTATAATGCTATTAACCAATGTCACCCCAATAAATGTGATAAAAAAGAAAAAAATTAAAATATTAAATCATGCCCTAGAATTGTTGGGAGTATTAAATGGGGAACATTATTGAAAGTGCCTAACATACAGCAGGCACTCAGCAAAGGACAGTGCCCTCCTCTCTATCCCAGATCTGCCAGTTGGAAGCTGTTTTGGCTCCATACTTACAATCATTCTGGCCGGCCAAACCGAGGCTGCTCGACACGCCCGCATTTGAGCTGTCCAGGCTGCTTCCAAGATGGAGTCTTCTCATATGCCTCACGACGGCAGTGGCATTAAATGCTTGCTGAAATTCAAGAAAGGAAAAAAGTAGGCAAAATGCTTCCAGTTACTGAAAAAGATGCAGACTGCCTCCTATTATTTTCCTGTTACTCTAAGCATTTCAAACTTCCAAAAATGTTCTCATGATACTTCTAGAAAGAAAATTTGCATTGCCCCTTCTTCCAAAAGTACAATCAAAATATATTTTGGAGGGAAAAAAATTTCCTTCTCACATACTAGACATACAGAATAAACATAAACTAATTCTGTCTATAGTCTAAGAGTAGTGACTTCCAGAAAACATGAAATTTTAAAATAATTTTAATTTCCCTTTTACTGGTGACTTTGTACTAAAGAATAGCCTCAGAATAAAGGAGGTCAGTGGTCTGTGTGGCCTCTCCCTGCTGCCCTTAAGGGCCTGTGTCGTTAGTAAACACACCAGTTTACTGAGGTAACCGGTCAATGGTGACAAAGCCCCAAAGATTTACATCCATCACATTTTTATCAGAAAGGATGGCTGGGTTCAACTCAGATTTCCTGTTCGTCTCCCCGTCATGTCACTTTATTACAAGATCCAGCCAGGTGGAGAAAGCAAAGACCCCGCTAAGGCACAGCATGGAAGTTGGAGCTGGCGCGACTGCCATTTCTGACTCAGAGAGGGGAAATTTTAAATCTCAGACTTCATTTCTCTCACACCATGACTGTCCCTTTGTCTTCATTATTATTGGTTAAGATTAGCAGAATTATTTGGGTGAGGTTCTGGGTTTTTTTTCATCAAACGCAGTGACAGTAACCCTTAGAAAGAAAAAAAAAATGCTCAAACTGCAAGGCAAGTGAGTGGTTAGACTCACTGGGAGTCTGATCAGCACTGGACTTACTCTCCATTTGCTCTTGGCGAAGTTCTTCCGGATCTGGGCACTGACAGACTCATGGATGTTCTTGTTGAGGGCCGTGTCACCTGCGATCCTGAAACACAGAGAAAGATGCTTCTTCTGAAGAGCCTGGGGGGTATGGGGGGAGGTCTGGCATGGACCCTCTTTCCTGGAAGCCCCATCTTCAAACCTTTCCCTAGGCTGCTGGCTTGGCCCCGCCCTCCCAGGCTGCTCTTGTGTGTGCACAGATCACAGGGCACTCCAAGTTCTGTCCATTTCTATCCCAAGTCCTGTCGATTTCCATGCACTGTAATATTGCAAGGGCAGGGCAGCACCTTCATGGTTGACCTCTGCCTGGCTCTCACTTTTCCCTTTTTTGACCCCCCATTCCTGCGACATCGACAATGACAACACACCCTGCCCTCAGTTTCCATCCTTCTCCCCTTCATTTTCCCTCCCCCAACTCTATGCCAGTTTTCTACCTGCAGCTTCACCTCCACCACCTCAAATGTGTTCCCTGCTGGTCTGACCACCAGAACCTCCCAGGGACCTTCTTCCAGCTTCCTCCTGCCCGAGACCCCTCTGCCTTCTCTGGGCCGTCTTTCCTGTGGACCAGCTCACATCTGCGGCCCACAGCTCCCTTTTGGTTCCATCTTCACTGAGCTGAGCTCTGCAGCATCTGCTCATCTACAGCCACCCTGGGCACCCAGCCCCTCTCTGTGCTCAGGGAGAGGGCCCAACTCTGGCTCAGCTCTGCGGACAGCTCTCCTCCTGAATTTCCCAGATAAGCCCTCATAAATGCCAGGACCACATCCACTTTGCCTTCAGTTGGGTCCTTGGTGTTACTGGGCACTAGTTCTTACTTGTTCCTTAGTTTTCTATTAGCAAAGAAGAAGGTAGGTTTGCTTTTTACCTCCTGTCCTTAGAGTTCCCCTCATCCTATGCCTCCCTCCCTCTGCTCCCACCCCATCTTACACCTCCCTCTCTCCTCTTCCCTCTTCTCTGACAGCCTCTCTGGTCTTAGTCATCACCTGCAGATCATTCCTAGTTCCTCTCCCACGCATCCCTTCTCTCCCTCACACCACCTCCCTCCACAGTCACCGCTGGCCTCCCCCAGGTTCAGAGGAAGCTGCATTTTGCGCTTAGTCCTCTGGACTTGGAACCTTCCATCTTTCCTTACCAGCAAACCAAGACATTCTAGGTTCATCTTTGATGCCTAAAAAATAATGTCTTGCCTCTTGGAAAAGTTGAAAGGAAGACAGGTGACAGGGACACTGAGCATCCTTTCTGGCTGGAAGGTACGTGAAGAAACCTGTCGCTCTGAGACCCAGAGGCTCCTGGACACTAAGCAGCCCGGATGCCAGACTATTAAGTCCACATGTTTTGGGAAATGAAAGGGAGACACTTACGGTCTATTCAGACAAGAAATAATCCCCGGATATAAAATACGTTCCTACCCAGCCTTTCACTTTAGAACTGAAAACATGGTTGAGGGAATGAACATTAAGTCCGTGCCAGGCTGGGCCACGTCTTGAATCCAGTCTGATGTTCCTGCTCAAAGCAGCTCCCCCTACAGACCCTGCTCCCAGTAAGGCTGAAGGCACTTAGCTTAGAGGACACTCAGACCTAACCCTATGACTAGATTTCCACTCCCAACAACTGTCAATCACCTTCCCCTGAGACTCATTGTGAATGGAAATAGGATGTCTGAGTGGGCAAGCATCCCAAACCCAACAGCCGGGGGCTAGGGCTGTGGACATGGTTAGCAGACATTTTCTCCTGGAGAGCTCGCTGAGTTATTCCTCCTGCACTGTTTATAAAGCTGCATCCTCGGGAAAGGAGGCCATTCCAACCCTGTGGCCAGATCTTTCTTGGAAACAGCTGCACAGAGTGGCAGGAAGTATGGAACTGGCGGAGCTGAGCACGGCCACAGTGCAGAGCTGCCCTCCAAACCAAACAGGCAGGCACTCCCTTCTTTGTGGGTGAGTGTGGGCCCAGATGGAGGGAAAATGCACACTTCCAATTATTTCTGGAATGTTCCATGCTCCCTTCCCACAGCCCCAGGGGAAGCTGCACTGGGGGAGAATCAAGCAGGGCAGATGCAGGTCCATAGACTCCTGCTGGCAGTGGCCTTAGGAGCAGTTGCCCTGGGCCACCAGCCAGGAGCCCTCTCCCCGGGTACCGCGAGGAAATGGAGGCTGCTGCTCATAGGACTGGGCCGTCACAGCGACAAGGCATGGGCTCCTGATGCTCAGTGCTGCTAGGTCAGCCACAGCCATCAACAAAAGGTGGCCAGGAATCCGAGAACTGGGAGGAGTCTTGGTTGTCATTTCACTGTCCTGGGGATACGTGATACATGATGCCTCCACTACATGAGAATTTCCTTATACACACACACACACACACACACACACACACACGCCTCCTATGATCCCTTGCTTTTCAGTCTTTCCTCTTATTCCCACACTGCAGGTGGCACTTATATTCATTGCTCTGTCCTCTTCCACACAGAGCACCAATCATCTCTCCTGGCCTTTGGTGTTCTTGTGTTTCCTACACAGGCTGCTTGGCCTCCATAGTTCTGACTTTGCTTGCTCAAGGCGTGTGAGGGGATGGCTGTGTGCCTCAGCTGGGGTCTCCCAGCCTGCCAGGCTGTGTCCTAATTCCAGCGTGGCTGGAGAGACAGAAGACGGGAGGGGTCTCTGTGAATACCGAGAAGAGGGCCGCAGGTGCCACCCTGGCCTGGTGGACACGGCAGGTCTGAAGGTGGGCACGCTGCCATTGTCATGGGCACTGATCACCGGGGCCCAGGATCATCACTCTGGTTTGTTTGTCACACACTGAAACTGGAGACTGGGACTCAGATTGTTCTTCCCTGTAATGACGCTGCCCTGTAACCAGGAATGGGTTCCCACAGGCCGCTTGCCATCTCCTACTCTTTGTCTGTCAGCCAGCAGCCGCTAGTCCCTGTCCATGCACCACCAGGTGAAAACAGGCCTGCAGGAGGGCTGCGGTGAGATGGGTGCTGCCCTCCACAAGGAGCCCCCTCCTGGCTGGAGTGTCTGCTACTTCCAGAGGCCTCTCCTGGCCCTCGGTGGCCTTGATTAAGCTGCAAGAGCCAGGTGTCACTGGGACAGCCACTCCACTCCTCCCTGGCTCTCAGCTGAATCCACATTCTTCACCTGGGAATCTCACATAAAAGAAACAGGCATATATCATACAGGCAATCAAGGGGGCTTTTAATTTGCTTGAGTCAGATGCATTCCTCCTCTCTCCTCCCCCCTCCTCCTCCTCCTCCTCCTCCTCCTCCTCCTCCTCTTCCTCCTCCTTTTCTTCTTCCTCTTCTTCTTCTTCTTCTTCTTCTTCTTCTTCTTCTTCTTCTTCTTCTTCTTCTTCTTCTTCTTCTTCTTCTTCTTCTTCTTCTTCTTCTTCTTCTTCTTCTTCTAAAAATCACTTTCCCATGTTTGACTTCTTGGGAATTTTGAAATGAATAGTAAAAATTACAAAACACTGGAGGGAAAAAATACCTCTGAAGAAGGCATTTGTGTGTTCAGTTCATAGCTAACATGTCCTAATGTGACCCAGGCTGATGACTCAGGACTTCACCTCTTACATGACTTTCCCATGCCCCAGACTCATCAGCACAGCACACAGCACAGTCATCCTCTCCTGGGCAGCATGGCTGCGCTTTCTGAAATGTAAATCTGATTACTCTGCTTAAAACCTTCCAGGGACCCCCACTGCCCAAAGGGAAAAGTACAAATTCCTCAGCACAATCCTAAAATAATGGCAATTCTTATAGATTGGAGACTTATTAGATCCTAGGCATTCTTCTTTTGTGTGTGTATTATCTCATTTAATCCCTGGAAACGCCCTATATGGTATATACTACTGTTATTTATGATCTCAGTTCTACAGGGGAGGCCCAAAGAGTCAAAGGGCCTGCCCACCACTCAGTAATAGTGGCAAAACCAGGACAATCAGGGCCCATGCCAGAACCCTAGTCTGCCTTCCTTTCTAGTCTCCTCTCCCACCTCACTGCTCTGTCCCTCTTGCTCCAGGAATACTGGTGCTGTGGCAAGAGGGATGGGTGTGTAGCATATGCTGCCAGCAGGACCCAGGCCGCTCTTGGACCTGCAACCTCCGCTGTCTGGATGGCCCGGTGAAAGGGTTCTCTTAGCGTGTGGCTCGCATCTCTGTGAAGTCCTAGATTCTGCTGAGGACACCCTGTCCCTCTGCCAGGCCCTGCAATGGCCTCTCCTTTTTTACACTTGAGTAAAAATGACCTCTCCTTTGGTTTTTCAAAAATGGCTGGTGAAGGAGAAATTGGGCTTTGACTGGCCTCCTTTGCCTTCCATGAAGTGAGGCTGTATTAGTGAACAAGTACTTGGAAGCAAATCACTTTCCTTCTTTTTTAAAACCCTTACTGGATGATATATTTACCACTGATTTTAGAGAGAGTAGAAAGAAGGGGGTGGGGGAGAGGAGAGAGAGAGAAACATCAATGTGGGAGAGCCACATCAATTGGTTGCCTCCTGCACTGGCCCCAACCAGCACAGGGGACTTGCAACCCAAGTACATGCCCTTGACTGGAATAGAACCCACGACTCCTTGGTTCCAATGCCAACATACTAACTACTGAGCCATGCTCTTCCCTTCTTTTGAGGTCATTTGCATCCTTTATAAGATAACCCCAAAAGTCTCATACATATAAGACAAATGAGTTCTGGGGATGTAATAATGTACATGATGAATATGGTTACACTACATTATAGTATATCCTAAAGCTTCTCATTATAAGGAAAAAACAATTTTTAAGGTGATGGTTGTTAACTTATTGTGGTAATTATTTCACAATAAATATGAATGTCAAGTCATTCTACTGTACACCTTAACCTTACACAGTGTTGTATGCCAATTATATCTCAATAAAACAGAAAAAAAAGTTCTTACAGATTTAAAGGCCCATTGTCTAAAAGGTAAGAAAACTTGATTATCTTTATGGCCACATACTTTGACCTATTGTACAGAATGACTTACTAAAACAAATAATCAAGATATATAATCAAAACTGCCTCCTTACCCAGAAAATTATTTATTTACCCCTCCAGTCCTTTCCTACTTTCCCTTTACATCTCTTATCTGCACGTGGGGGAGAGCACTCATTTTGGAGTTCCCTGGTTCTTGCTGGAAACAGTTCTGGCTTTGCCATTACCTAGTTGTATTGTCTTGGCTAAGTTACTCACCTTTATAAATCCATTTCCTTATCTCTGACACAGAGAGAAAGCCTACCTTACAGGGTTATTGTAAAGAAGCAAAATGAGATACTATTAATGCATTTAGTGCAGTACTTGAAACATAATAGATGCTCAATAAATGATGGCTGTTATTATAAATCAAAATGCTGTGAAACTGGGTCATGGCACTACCCTAAACAGCTCCTCTTTGGGGGATAACCAGAACTTGAGACCCTGGAGGAAATGCTACAGAATGATGGAATAAACCTGGGACAGTCTTCTAGAGTGTTTCCTAGCATTTGATTTCATTATATTGCATATTTTAATGCTCCTGGCCTTTGCTTTAAGTGGATGCTCCTGTTGCTTTAGCAATAACAGCTAATAAGTATTTACTCTACACCAGACATCACACCAAACCCTCGACATGTGTTATCTCAGTTATTTTTTACATCAACACTATCAACTAGGTATTGGTGTCCTCATTTTAAAGATGAGAAAAATGGGGCAAGAGAAGTTAAGTATAAAGCCAAAATCACAGCTAGATGATAGTGAACATGGCTCAAATCAACTAAGTTTTATAGCCAAGGTGGCCTCAAGGGCGCTGCTGAAAATGTGCATAGAATGCATCAACCATCAGCTGATCTCTCTGGAAGTGAAGGAAGACTAACTTGCAAAGCTCCTTAGAAGGGAAAAATATATAACCCAATTCATTTCACTACTGAGTAATAAACCTAAGGAAAAAAACTCCCATCTTAATGCCTCGTTGGGCAATTACCTTCACTAAAAATGGTCCTAAAATATTCATGTAAAATGAAAAAGCTACAGCTATCTTTCCACACTTAACCTGTCCTTAGTGCACGTGGGAGGCTGAGCCTGAAAGAACGAAAGATCCCGTGTGCTGCCATGAGACAGGATCGGGGCCCCTGGCAGAGTGACATGCAGCATTGTTGGGCTTTCCCAGTTGCTGACAGCCAACTGGACGTTACCCCGGGAAGGCGGGAGACACACGGCCTCTCAGGTGGGCAGGCGTTCTTACCATGGGTGCCGCGCTGCCTGCTCACATGTGTATCTTTTGTTTGGATCTTTCTCCATCAGGTTCCGAATGAAATCTTTTGCTGTTCAGAAAGGAAGCACAAGGGAAGGAATCAGTCTGTGGCTTGAGCTATGACATCAGCAGTCTCTGAGAGTGTCATGTGTAGCATGGAAATGACAAGACCAGCCCCCCACAGACCTTACAGTACCCTGGACATGGGTACCAGCATTTGGGGAAAAGGGAAACCCAGGTTTGGAATGCTGAATGGTGACCTTCCAGTGAAGGGGCAGCCAGGCCAGGGCTGGGCCCTGCCCTCCCAGCTCAAGACCGTTACCTCTGGCAGCTAGGGACACTTTTGGTTCAGAGATTAAGCATCTTTATCACCACGGGATTTTCATTCTGCTCACTGCGGCTGTAGGGAATGATTTGTGGAGGTCCTGTGCATGTTTTAGAATTCAACATTTGCTAAGCTGGCCAGGTCCTGTACTAGCTGGCGCAGTGAAATGGGCTCTTGAGGGAAGTGGGGTGCTTGAAGGCCAGGATGGGGTGTGGCCCAACAGCAAGGCAATGAGAGCATGTGAGACCAGGTCACAGGATCGGAAGATGACACCTGTGGGGCAGGCTGGGAATCTGCAGCCTCATGTGGTCTGGCAGCTCACCACCCACAGTCTGGGCTCCTGGGGGAAGGCATGCCCTACCCAGGTGAGAAGTAAAATTATCCCCCATGTGGCTCTCTCGTGCAAGCCTTGGAGAACTGATCTTCAGGTTTTGGAAGACGAGGAAGGAAGCAGATGTTTCCAGTTAGAAGGAAATAACACAGATAATAAAATGCAATATTTGAATAGCTCATCCAGTAAATGCAAAACTCTGTTTCATTTATTATTTTATTTTCTTCTTATACCACCTTTCTTGATAGGAAGTATTACTACCATCCTCTTCGTATCAGCTTGAGAAATGTCGTCAGTTTATATGGGCCTTGGTTTTGATTTTACCCCCGAGGAGGAAATGCTGACCTTCCCTGGGGATGTGTTAGTGCGGCATGGCAGCTGAGACATGGGCTCTGGATTCGGTCTTGAGCTCAAGTCCCAGCTCTGCCACATACTACCTGTGTGACTTGGGACAAGTTATTTCACCTTCTGGGCCTCAGTTTCCTCATCTGTCAATGGGTTAATAGTAATACCATCTGATAGGCTGTCCTGAGGATTGAGCAAGGGAGCATATGTGCACAGCTTACACTTAGGACACAGTAAGCACTCAATAGATAGTAGTTAATATGGCCGCACTCCTTGGGGCACCAGGGTCAGGGCAAGGCTAGGATTTGGTAGAGGAGTGAGTTCCTGTCCCATGATTTATTTGGGCCCTTTGCCCTCCACTTTGTTAGTCAAGCCCAAGAGCAGAGCGTCCTGTCAGGTCAAGGGAGGGTAAACTGTCCAGGGTAGCCCAGCAGGAGCCAAGACTTACCAGAGTCAGAGATGTCATCCCAGTAGGGGGAGTCGAACTCATACTCTGCCTTGAGGATCTGTTCAAAGAGCTTGGAGTCATTTTCATCATAAAAGGGAGGGTAGCCACAGAGCCTGGAAGACAGGATAAAGGAAGGATTTGAAATGCTGCATCTCCAGTGTGGCAGTCAGGACCTGCCTGCAAAGAAGGCCGTTCTCACTCCAGTGGAGAAAACCCTACTGTGCGCGCTGCAGACAGTCTCAGTGGGGATCGCACGCTCTGCAGGCACAGGCAGCACACAAGTCACTTCGAGGTGTACTCAAGAACCAAGAGGGCCACCTCAGGCGATCACTGAGGTCCACCCTGACTCCATACATTATTCAACACAGAGTCGCATACACCTAAAACCCACCAGACAGCCTTCTGTGTATAAGTGTTATTGACCTTATTGTCTATATTGCCCCTTTATAGATGATGGGTCAGTGGGAAAAAACAAACACACAAAAGTTTATTATCAATTTTAGGGCCTGTTCTAGGTTCATTTTGTTTAATAAATCATCATAGGGAGAAAAAGAAATGTTATCAGTGTGAGTACTAAGTTGCCATAGGTCACCTTAACTTGTACGCTATCACTCTATCATGCCAAACCCCGGTATTTTAAAGGTTATATTTTTGCCCATTAATATGCAATAAGCATAAGCATGAGTTGGCACAAATTAGAAAGGACTGCATCTCAAAGTTGATTTTTAAATTGGGATGTTGGGAGGTTGGTGCAAGTAACATATAGTTCTGGAGATACCGATAGTCATCTAACAAACATAACAGAGGTAGGAATTTTTATTAATAACCCCAAACAATTCATTCCATAAAATCCTAGGTTCTCACTCCAGTTCTACTACCATCTCCAATGCGACTTTCACCATCAGTAGGCACTGATACTTTCTGGGCCAAAATTTTCTCATCTGAACATGAAGAGGACAGACCAGAAAATCCCCTATATTATATCTGGCTTTAAGATGCTATGGTTCTGTGACTTCCTGTCCCATTTTGCTTGGCTGGTCAAGACACAGGGGAAGGTCTCATACATGCTGGAGGCCCACATGGGGCAGAGGCAGGCCTGGTTGGGAATGGACAGTGGGAAGGGGTGGGACTGCGGCTAGGGCTGTCAGGGTAGACAGAGCTGGAGGCAGGGCTGGGTTCTGCAAGGCCAGGTATAAGCTGGATCTCACAGAACTTGCCCTCGACAGCCCAGCATGTGGCAGCCACAGTGGGAATTCTGTCCCCACACAGGCCCTGAATCTTCCCACATAGCCAAACTGCTCAGAACACAGCTACAGCCTAGAGATCAGCGTAATGAGGACAAATTAACAGGAATCAACAGACTCCAGGTCTGCAAGGGATGAGGCTTATTAGCAAATAAGGAACTGCCCCTCCTGCCACAAAACATAGTGTCACCAGCCAGGCTGCACAGGGGACTAGCTGGTGACATCTTTCATGGCTATAAAACCTTCCTGGACTGATAGGATTATAAAGCTTCTATCCCCACAGGGCTGACTTGGGATCCAAGTACCCATTTCATTAAAATATTTTTATTGATTTCAGAGATATGCAAAAATTGTTATGAATATAGAGAGCACAGACATTGAACCAGAATAGTTTTTTGAGGGAGGAAGCAGCAGAGGTCTGTGCTTTGTCTCGGGATGAGCAGAGTTTTATAGGAGACAGAGGGGCCGCAGGGGGAAGGGCTAGCCAGAAATAAAGGCCTGGAGGCATAAAGGGCACAGTTCATTCAAGAACCTAAGAGCAATGTGCCCCTGCTCTGGCTTAAAACCTGTCAGTGAGTAGTAGAGACGGTGGTGAAACAGACAATGGGAGGCCAGGGAGGCTGTGCTCCCACACTGAGGTAGACAGTCTATCCTTCAGGTACCAGGAAGCCCCCAAAAGGTATAGATGAAGGAGGTTTCTGGGCAAATGGCTTTGCAGCTGAGGGAGGGGTAGACACGAGGCAGGAAGACAGCAGCTGTACCAAGCCAAAGAAAGATAGGTGTCTGCAGGTGGTGGCAGCTGGATTGGGGGGACAGAAAGATTCCCAAAGGAGTTCAGAGAGAAAACACTGGAGGGTCTGGGGTCTTCCGGTGTGGCAAGTAAAGGCCAGGGTAGCAGGTCTCCAGCAAGGACTGGGGCCGCCATCTCCATGGCGAGGACACAGGAGGAAGAGAAGGTCCATGAATGGCCCCTATGTCACCACAGCACCTAGAGTTCCAACTCCTCCTCCACTGGCCCCGCTCAGGAAAGCAGCTCTGGGCAGTTGCTGTGTGTGTGTGTGGGAGCCTGACCCTCCCCTGGGGGACCCGTGGGACAGCCTGAATTACTTCACGTAGCCACACTGGGTCTTGTCTAGGCTTGGGCTGAAGATTAGGAAAGGCTGGGAAGAGAGGGAGCTGATGGTGCAGATGTGGAGAGAGAAGCAGATATGCCAAGAGGGAAATACCAGTGAGGCTGTGAGAGGGGCCAGTGCCCTGGGCTGGACCAGTGTGGGTGGCTTCTGTTCAGTCCACACAAAGCCGTGCAACAAATCCCTTTTCCTTAAGGTAACTGGAAAGAATCTGTTCTTTTGCAACTAAAGGCACCAGCATCCCACAGTGGATAGATGAACAATTCCATTCATGCTGTGGTGAGCTGGACCAGGTGTGTGTGAGGGCAGCCAGCAGGCAGTCAGGACACATGCCTGAAGCCAGGGACTTTCTGTGGTTTGGGATGCTAAATTAAAGCCATCACCATTTGCATGCAAGCTGGGAGAGTGGGTAAGATCACTCAGCAAGAATTTATAGACACTGGAGCTGCAGACTGATCCTCCACAGGCTTCATCTGGCCCACAGATGTGTTTGGTGTAGCCAGCAGTGACTGAAAACAAATGTGACTGAATGCTCATAGACAGTGCTGATCCAGCCAGTTTACCACAGTCTCCACTAGTCCCTATTGCTCACACCCAGTAGACACATGTACATCCTCTCTCTATCACCGGGCCCTCCATTCTCTAAGATGGTGCCATTGAGTCAAGGGCGGTCTGCAGGAGGCAGCTTTGAGGGGGAGGAGGGGCTGAGGCACTGTGTCAGGTGCTGCTGGCTACAAGAGCTGCATGAGAAGTGAGCCCTACTGTACTAGAGGCCCAAGACGGATGTGTGTGTGTGTGTGTGTGTGTGTGTGTGTGTGTGTGTGTGTGTGTGATTTCCTCCTTGGAATTGCTGCCAGAATTTAGGGGAGAATGAGAAGCCTGAGAGGGATGATCAGGGAAGGCTCCTGGGAGGAGGTGTGACCTGTGCTGTGATTCCAGGCCAGGGCCCATCAGACTCACCTGGGAAGCTAGAAAAACCCTGAATCCTCCCCAGACTGAGTGGGTCCAAGTCTCTAAGAGCAGGGCCCAGGTGCTTTTACTTTTCTTTTTCTTTAAAAAAGCACACACAAGTCCTAACCGGTTTGTTTCAGTGAATAGAGCATCGACCTGCAACTGAAGGGTCCCGGGTTCAATTCCGGTTAAGGGCATGTACCTTGGTTGCGGGCACATCCCCAATGGGGGTGTGTAGGAGGTGGATGATCGATGTTTCTCTCTCATCTATGTTTCTAACTCTCTATCTCTCTCCCTTCCTCTCTGTAAAAAATCAATAAAATATATTTAAAAAATAAAAAAATAAAAAACACACACCAAAAAACAAAAAGCCTTATATAGGAATTCATGCTCATAGTTAAAGAGTTTAAATATAGAAGAGTATAGGGAAAATTACCTTCCTGATCCACATTCCCATTCCTGCTATTAATTTCCTGTGAATGCCTTTCAGAAACTTTTTTGGCATATAAAGCATGGATATATGTACATGAGGTACAAGAATTCAAATTGCCTGGAAGTTTAGCATTGCCTTTATGGCTGTAAAAGGACAGCTAGTTTGTTTCTTTGCATGTTCCAGAAAGTCCCTAGCAGGGGGAGTACGCTTGCTTGTTCCCTCTAGGGTACTCACTGAGCATCAGCTGTCCCTTCCTGCCTTCTGACCCAGCAGAGAGCACAGGCCTGCCACAGCTGCCCCACCTCCCAAGCAGGCCCTCAGGTCCCCACTCAGCAGAGGATTTAAGAAGTAGAGCTGAATACCCTGAAATGGGCATTTGTTCTGGAGAAAGTACTTCAACTAAACATTATAATTTTTGCAGTGAAGCCTCTGAATTGTCAACAGCATCAGCTATAGGTGACATCCTTCACAGCAGATGGAAGGAGCACAGCAAGTCTTCAATACGCCTTCCCTGGCGCACAGCTGCCCCGTGCCCGGATGGTGCCTCCAGGTGTCCACCTCCCTGCTCTGGAGCACTTTGGCCTCCACCGTACCCATGTTCCCACCTGAACCCTCAACCAGAGGCTGACAAGTATATTGAAGAAGGACTGTGTATAGCAGGGGGATGAGCAGAGAACCTCAGAATTCTATTCTGGAGTCCAGAAGTCATCATCTGGTCCAACCTGTCCTATAGGAAACTGGGAAAGTGAGTCCTGAAGAGAGAGAGATGGACAGAGCACATCTGGCATCTATGTGCCCACGGCTCTCACGAAGAGCAACAAATGCCACTTTGATTTAATCCTGCAGATCTTTATTGAGCAGCAACGTCACACCGAGTGCTGATCATGGAGCAGTGAAGACACCCTGCCCTTGCTCCTTAGAGTTCAGTGTCCAGCATGTTTGAACAGGACAAGTGGGATGATGGCTTTTCTACAGACTGGTTATGTTGTTTGTGCATGTCCCATAAAAGCTAATGACCATAGCCACCATCTATGGAGCATTTACTATGTTCCAGCCACTGGGCTATACAACTTAGACACATTGTCTCACTGAATGTGTGCTGATGGGGTTATTTCAATTCCATGGCCACATGAGAGATTGGGCAACTTGCTCATATCTCATCTCAGGGTTGGAACAAAAGTTAACTCTCCTCATTCAAATCCAGAGCCACATCATATTAACCTCTAAGCATGACAGCCATACATGCTGCTGCAAAGATGGGGAAGCACATGCTCCCTTCCTGCACCGGCCTCTGCAGCCAGGATGTCGTGTTTGCACATGGGATACATTTGGAAGCAAAGCCAGAAACAAGGCTA